TTCATTTGTTCTTTCTTTTATTTCTTCGTTTTTGGTTTGTTCCTTCCTTTCATTTCTACCATCTTTCTTCCTAATAAACTTCCTTTGCTTTCTCTCTCTCATTACTCTTTTACTTCCTATCGGTATAGTTATTYATTGAAATATTTTCCTGTTTCCAGTTACTCGAAGCAGTAGAAGTATGTGAAGAAACGGCTGTCAATCAGTACAATTGGGCGGCGTTATATGCTGAGAAGTCAGCCAAGGCTCCTTTATCAATTTGCGAGAAGGAGGAAGCTGAATATCGATTTGAAAACACTCAGTTRCATTGGAGAAACCARGCACAGAACAACACGAAMCGATGCCCAATGAGGGCACTAACAAGAAAAATAAATTACCATTTGGAAACGTCCAGGCAGAGATGTCCTGATATGAGGTACGCTCACGGGTTMAGCATGAGTGCCCTTCAAATACCCCATCTCCAACCGYTGTGGCCGTGTGCTCAATCCTCAGATCTGCCGTCATATAATAACAATAATAATGATGATGATGATGATGACGACGATATTGGTGCCGATGATGATGATATTGGTGATGGTCATAGTGATTTCGATARTTTAGAGTTGTTACTATAACCCAATCCGCCACCCGTGCCAACCGTTTCTAAACCATCCCCGTGCTCAATATTACGTATTAATGTATTGCATCTTCTCTTGTCCCATAGYCAACAAGTGTCTGAAGAGGCACTTGCCAAAGCAGCTCAAGCCATCCAAGACGTGGAACGTAATCTCTTGCATGACTCTTCCAAGAGAAATCGAGTGACTTTTTGCATTGCCAAATCAGATTACCATATACGTAGGACATCAATGAATGGATCGGTTTACACGGCTGAAGTTAGAAAAGGAGATGCTGAGACCGGTGGGTTTTTTTTGCTTGGTAATACATTTCGAGAATTTAACTCTAAAMTTTACTAACACCGCTACTAACAGCACTTCTCGTACCTTTGACTACCTCATCCCGGCTCATTACCATTCATAACCACCACTACTACTATCACTACCATCGCCTTTAACTCTGCCACAGCCATTGAGCTGGCTCATTTTACGCGACTTGAAGTTTCAGTCGTTTCATATAAGGCTCGTAATTTACCTATTACGCATGTTCTTATACGATTTCCGAGCCCATCCCACACGGCTTACCGCCTCATCTCTCATTTGCCACAAACAATACGACTACCGACACTGTGGAAAAACCCTCGCGTATGCGTCTCTTTCAGCAAGCTCTCTAAGAATTTAGAACAGTTTTAGTGAGAAAATAAATGTTCGCTTATGCAAAAAATTTCGCGACTATACTTTTGTGAGATCAAGATACTGTATTAACAAGGCAAATAAAAAAGGTTTCAAGCCTAGTTTTGGTATTTTGTGAAGTTCATTTATCATTCATGCTTGAAAGTCAAATTTGTATGTTTTTACGATAGCATAAAGATGTTTTTGATTAATCTAAATACGGATTTAGAGCATGCACAAACGTTTTCCTTTCGTGTCACGACTAGCCTGTATGACCTCTAAAAAAACTAATGTTCTCTACCACCACTATGATGACAAGCACTACCTCCACYACTACCGTTAGAACTACCTAACATCACTCCTTCTACCACATTATCACTCTTATTATATAATCTTAACTAAAACAGTACTGTGACCACTACCTCCACCACTACAATTAGCACTATCTAACATCACTGCCTCTACCACACCACCACTCTTATTATACGATCGTAACTTCAACACTACTGTGACCACTACCTCCTACACTGCCATTAGCACTATCTAACATCACTGCCTCTACCACACCACCACTCTGTTATCATAATATATCTTAACTTCAACACTACTGTGAGCACTACCTCTACTACTATCATTAGCACCACCCATCATTACTCCCTCTTCCATTACCACCACTAGTACTGTTATCATTATCTTAACTTCAAAACTACTACAGTGTAGAGCACTACTTACTCCACTACCAGTAACCAATATCACTCCCACTACACTTCTAGGTACACCACACTACTGCTAACCAATCAATATCACAGCCTCTGCTGTACCACTATCAATCCCTCCAGCACTTACTCTACTGGTCATTACTCTCGCCTTAGCTCATTGCCACTACTACCTGTCACTTACTGCTACTTGTAGCATGTACACAAGAGAATATGAACTAAGAGAAGGAATCCTACCTATATATAGCCTTGTAATCATCATGTGCACAGTTTGATGCTATTTTTAGCTTGGAGATATTTTGAGCGAAGAACCTGATTGGTTGATTCCTTGAGGGTAGGCGGCTTCCAATCTTGCAGTAAACAAAAGCCTGTGTTTTTGTCGCTTTTCGTGTCCTAAAACGAGGCATTAAAGAAAGCATGATTATCGCGCGGGCATGGTAACGAGTTAAGAATAGCATCAATGATTCTAAAAATAGCATCAAAGTATGCATATGATTGGGCACGGGGATTCCTTCTCTTAGTTCATTTTCTCTTGATGTACACCTTTCTTGCATTCTACATGATTTCAACGAAGCTGAGACCCTAATCTCAACACTCTTTGCTCACAGCCGCTTCGATTCTTAAATCAGCCCTGGCCATTGCCAAAGAACTGATTCTTATCAAAGAGATTGAAGGGATCGAAGATAGATTGAGGAACATTGATCTCTTWATGCAAACCAACTGGCAGTCTCAAAACCGACCGCATTCTTCCAGAGCAATAGTGCCATAGAAAGAGATGATGAGTCCATAGACGGTTTACTGATAGAGTTGGACAGGCATTCACACTAACTAACCTCGGATTAACGTRAACCAGAATGGGGCTCCAGAGGTAAAATGCCTCGTAGCCTGAGTGGAACTAGATTATGAGTCGATAGTCGACCTACTGTTAGGGTTGGCCAGGCGGTCACTCGAACTAACAACGGGTTAACCTGAACCACTGTTCAAGCAGGCCGAAGGTATCTGAAGTCTACACGCCTCTAGAAGAGCGATATCTGGGAGCCAATTGAGAGAAACAAATAGACTTGATAGACTTGACTGACCAGAAAGTATTCACCCAAATGAGTAAGTAGATTAGTGTATTTACTCAAGGGTGCGAGAG